TCTTTTAAAACTCAAATGGCACACTTTAAAAGGATGAAGAAAGCGGGCAAAGGTTTACATGCTCTGTGTCTCACTACTAATGCACAGATAAAAAAAGAGGAGAGTAATTTCATGGCTGTGTCTGATTGTTTTTGCCAGTGGTTGGTTCGTTCGTTCGTTCGTTCGTTCGTTCGTTCGTTCGTTCGTTCGTTCGTTCGTTCGTTCTTTCTTTTTTTCGTTCTTTTTTTTTTTCTTTCTTTCTTTTTTTCGTTCTTTCTTTCTTTCTTTCGTTCTTTCGTTCTTTCTTTCTTTCTTTCTTTCTTTCTTTCTTTCTTTCTTTCGTTCTTTCTTTCTTTCTTTCCCTCTCCTCTCCTTCCTCTCCTCTCCTCTCCTCTCCTCTCCTCTCCTCTCCTTCCTCTCCTCTCCTCTCCTCTCCTCTCCTCTCCTCTCCTCTCCTCTCCTCCCTCCTCCTCTCCTCTCCTCTCCTCTCCCTCCCTCCCCTCCCCCTCCCCTCCCCTCCGGAAAGATTAGAAGAAGCCTCCTGGATCGCATCACATGAGCATTGCAACAAACTTTTAAAACTTCAAAGCGCTGAGTTATATTTCAGTTGGCAGACAGAAGTGTTAACACTATCACCGCCTCTATTGCTGAGTTTCTAATCATTCATGCTGCTTGCAAACTAACTCCCTGTCTGGAGCCTTCAGTCTCGACCCATCTATCTCAGCTCCAGATTCATTGGCACATTTTCCTTTTCGCCTCACTGTGCTCTTTTGTCTTTCTCTGTTTACCTCTTAGCTTCTGCAGAGCATTAGCTTTTATCTCTTTTTTCCCCCCCACACCAGCTCTCCACTCTTTTGATAAGCCTACTCCCCCCTCCTCTTTATCATCTTTTATCCCCTCATCCTGGCGTTTTTGTATGGATTCAGGGATGGTGTAGAGCAGATTATCAACTAATGCTCACAATGGTCATTTATTCACCTCTTTGTTTGCAAATCCTCTGGTGTTCAATAACCTTTGTGTTTATTTATGCAGAATAGTGTGTGTGTGTGTGTGAGTGGGTGTGTGTGTGTACATTGTGTGTTATTGAATGGTTATTATGGCCATGCTATGCTCCGATGTTTCCTCTCTAATATGTGGCGAAGGCTTCATGAGTGCTGACATACAGAAGCAAAAGCGGGGTTTGTGTGACAGTAAAGCTTTAAGGACACTCAATAACATATTGAGTACTGAACCCAGACCGCAGTGTGAGTGCACTGCATTGATTTACAGACCACATGACAATCACAAATAAGTGCGGCTCATACTCACCACTGTAGGCCACTGTGTGTGTGTTTATGAGTGGCAGCTTGTGCACAGACTCCCTTGCATCACTCCAGGAGCTTTTAACCCTTGTGGATGATCACCACCTCCATATGGAGTTATCGTGTAATAGTATGAAGAGAGGATTTCTCTATGATCAGCAGACAAAGTTTAGCAAATTCCTGCCGGACAGCCTTTCAGGCTATCACTGAAGGTATGTGTGAACTGGGAACTACCATACTGCATTTTGCTTTTTCAAATTGCTTCTTTAATTTCAATTTAGAGGAAAAAACAAAACAATAATAACGAGAAAACCTATTAGTCTCATTGCTTGAACCACTTTAGAGTTCATTAGCACGCCATCTGGCTTATAGCTCTTGGTTCCAGTGATAGGCTTAAACTGCTCTTTAAATGAAAAGATAATATTTTGACATTGAGATGAATGCTGCTATTGTTTTGCGATAACCTGTTAAATGACTAATTTCCTGCTGGCTTTATCGAGGACATGGTTGTAAGTTGAGGAGGAAATTGAGTTTTTCAGAGCTTTGATATTTTGCACCCAAGCATCCATTAATCCACTCACTGAGGATGTTTTGCCACTCAGGGGAACAGCTGTAAACAAACACCGCATGTTTAAGAAGCCAATTTTGTTCTTAGCAGAGACGTTATGTCATTTCATTTCCATCATTATTTTGGATTATTTCCTGTGGCGTAGAGGAGGACGGCACGTTTGACAAACGGTCTCTCTCTGAAACATCTGAAAAAGTGAATTCTAAACATGGAATTAAATCAGCAAAGTGCACAATTCTGGATGGACAGTTCTGCATGTTTGAGTTATAATATTATAACATCTGCCTGGGGATACCACTGCCACTGTCACGAGTATTTGAAAATGTATACCACGCTTTGCTCGGTCTGAGCACCTCAAGTAAATTTTCATGCCTTGTCTAATTTCCCTTGATTAATTTCTAAGTCCTAATGAGGCTAATTTGATTACATTTGTCAAAGCTTTTCACACATTGTGAATGATAGCAGTTGAGTAGTTGTGAATAGGCAGATTGATCTGTGTTACCTCTGTAGTTCTTGTTAAATAATATTTTACAAACATGTACATAAACACTGATACTGGTTGCCGTGTGACACTTGAGGCTTTAATGGAAAATCACTGATTCATTGTAATGATTACTCTATGGATTCATTATGTAAGTGGATGCCTACTGCAGACTGCCAAAGTGTCATACAGTAAACGGTACATATATGTAGGCCGTATAGGTGAAGTAGTACTAGATCTACAATGTCTTTACTTTCAGTATTTGAAACATTCACATGGTAATGTGATTTCAGTTGCTGGGTAGTGTCCTCACATGCCAGCCAGGTCTCTGTCAGCCAGTTCTGACCAATCCACACTCACACAAGCTGGATGATGTATGAATGCTGTATACTATTAATATCACACCCTTTTGTTACTTGCCATCTGGCATTTGGTGCAAGGCGGTTAATGTACACTGAGTTTTTCACTGAAAATGGCTAATGACTCAGAGGATAATTTTCTGTAGTTAATTACTACAACCAACCCGCTTGCTACAGTCTTACTGTAGTTGCCTTTATGTTAGGATCTTTTCCATTTTATAATGTAAAGGGAACTACATATGGTCAAAGTTTGAAATAAAGAGGTCAGGCCAGGATTCAGACTGTTTCTTATTCTTGGGTTAAGTTTATTTTTCAACTCTTGGATTTGTATGATGTCAGAGAGAGTGGATATGCTGTGGGGCCACAGCATGATGATGAGCCACAGGTTTGCAGAAAGGTCAGTATCAGATAAATGAGGATTATTTTTAAAGTGTGAACGATCCAAAGCTACTGCACCACGGCGGAGTCAAGGGTAAAAATACGGGGCTTGAAATGAGACCCATACAACAAGCCCTCTTACCTCAACGACATAATACGTCATAATGTACTCTAGGGCTGCCACAAACGATTATTTTGATAGTCGACTAGTCACCGATTATTTTTGCGATTAGTCGACTAATCAGATCATCATCCATTGGACGTAAAACGTACAGCATATTGCACCAGCAGCATCTGCTCATATATAACTATCATTAGCTTACAGCTTTAAGTGTTTAAGGTCTGTGCTAACTAAAAATAAAGACAAGATGATAGTTTATTAAATTTTAATGAATTTTACAGATTGTTTCGGTGAAGTTTAATAAACTCCTTGCTATCTAAAATATAACAGGACACCGGAGTAAATTCTCGAGCATCTCACACTTCTGATAATCAGTTGTCTGCTTGACGTTTATTCAGCTGTGTAAAAACTATAACTTTAATCTCAGCCAAACCGATTTACTCAGGAACAAATAAAATACAAAAAAAAGCCAAACAATAACATGTTTAAGTTATCTAAGTGACTTATGTATGTTTAACCTGAGTAGCGAAAGAAGGCGGTGGGTTTGAAAACGATTTGCCGGGAGTCCGGTGTTCTCACGGGCTCTAGTGAGCCTAGCTAGCTATCGAGCTAGTGGGTAACAGACGTCTCCGAAAACGTCGGCGCGCTTTTGAAAATATGTGGCATCTTGATAAACTGAGCAAATATTTGAGGTTTACACAGCTACGTTTATTTTGTGACCCAGAAAAGAATAATAAGAGTAATTTTAAAACTAACTAGCTGCCGCCGTTGTTGGAAATTGAGCTGGGCTGCGCTATGAATTCTGGGACACAGCTTCTTCTTCTTCAGGGTTTAACGGCAGCTGGCATCCATGCAGTGCTGCCCTCTTCTGTTTCAGTCCGTTATTACACTCTTAAATCCTACTACTCATTCCTGCGTCTTTTGTGATCTTACAAAGCTTCAAACGACGCGTCGACTATTAAATCAGTCGTCGACGATTTTGATAGTCGACGTAATCGTGACTAGTCGACTAATCGTGGCAGCCCTAATGTACTCTCAAAGCAATAATAAAGGTGTGTTTACAGAAACAACACATGAGTGTTTCCACATTTGAAGGTGGAGGCGGTGATGATGGCACAGCAAAGATTTTTAACCAGAAACAATTAAGAGACCTGAGTTTGCAACAATGTGAAAACAGTAAAAGAATTAAAGATTCAAAATAGGCAGTTTGATGATTTTAACTACATTTCTTTATACACAGAAAACAAATTCATACACATTTGTGTTGAGTGTTGAGCTAGTTTTGACGTTATGCAGCATCCTTGTTTTCAGGCTGCTGTTTTTTGCTCCTTTCATCACTTTGCAATGAAACACACGGGTACCAGAATAGTTATGCATTGCCAAAGTCAAGTTTTAAGTTTCATTTCAGGGTGTAGTTACTATAAAATTGTTTATAACAAAGCATCTTGTCTGTTCCCTGGTTTGCTCAGCCCTGGTCACAACTCAAATTCTATTATTCAAGCTCATCTCCTCCCCCTTGTCCTTCCTCATCCTCCCTCTGCCTCTGACATTCACTCTGGATTATTGATTGTCAGTGAGATCTAATCTGTCCTCCCATGTCATCATACAGGAGCTTGGCTGTGAAGGGGAGAAAACAATAGACATGCATGACCTCCACAAACTCATCTTCTTAGCAGTTCACACCTTCATTCTTCGCCCCCCCCTTCGTTTCCTGGTGCAATTAATTTTAATGCTCTTCTCTAAAGCTTCATTTTCCATCTATTCTCTTTCATTTGTAAATTGCCATTTCGCCTAGTTCCCTGACGTTCTATTTCTCCCTATACTCTGGGTTACTTTTCGTCATCCACTTAAGAGAGCATGACCGTGTCAGACCCTTATATCCTGTCTCCTCTTCCTAGTAGTCCTTCGTTTTCTTCCTCTTGTGTGAAACATGTAGGAAGTTCCTTTGAACAGGAGTGGATATGACAGCCAGTGACCTCGATTGGAGGAGTTAGGTGGTCTGTGTCTGTGCCTGTTTTATCTAAAGTGATCTGTAATTGTATGTTCTCTGAAACAGTGATGGATAATCAATAGTTCTGTCTGTCTCTGTGAGAGTGTGGTGGTGGCTAGAGTTAGAGAATAAAAGTCATTTTGTCCTTAATGCGGGACCATTACAGAGCTTTTTTTTTCTCTCTCACACCACTGCTTGCAAAGAGGAGACCAAGGTTGGCCTGGCATTTCCTATACCAGCTTTTGTTATTCTCTGTTAGGTGCTCTCAGGGTAGTGCAAGCTCTCACTGGCAAAATCATAACAGAAATGGCAACTCCAGCTGCGTTCTTAGCTGCACTGTGCACTGTAAGCCATAACTGCCCTGCAGTTTGAATCCAGAATCCAGCCTCATATATACAGCCTCTCTGCAGCTTGACTCAGATCCTCTGGCTTAAACAAATACAGACAGGGGATTGTACAGATGTGTGAATATATGAGTATGCATCCTGGCATTGTGAGGCCCATTAATGTATGTATGTGCGAGTATGCTGGCATTTACTAACACCCACAATCAGACACACAGATTAAGTTGGCATTTCTCTCGTCTGTGCCCTGATCAGAGTTGATGACGGGACTTGGAGCCTGTGTCGTGGATGTCCATTGTTTACTACCAATTCTCTGTTTGTGTGTTCCCCTGACACTGATCGCTTGTGAAAAGTAAACCTCAGCCCTAGCCTCTGTGACAATGTCTCGTGTCACAGCGGATAATAGACTGCAGTGCATCATGGGAAAAACCCTGGGGTCCTGGGTTTTATATTTATTTTTAAAGCTGCGACCAGATTCTTCTTCTCCCCCCCCTCCTGCTCGTTCAAATGAAGTAATTTCATGGCTCATTCCTGGGGTTAAAACTGGGTCTGGTGGAATGGATGAGATGTAAATAGCCCCATGCTTTACCTCTAACATGCTATAGGACCAGCAAATTGGGATCATCGGTAAACGTGTTGGCAGCATTGGTCTGCTGAATACTGTATTTAGGAGTCCAAGTTTAATGTGTTATACAGGCATGAAATCACTGTGTGATAGAGTTTCACCCGCTTGAAGATTACAGAGAAATGAGGGTAACTGTGATTTTTTTTTCCTTTCCTCTTTTATATAAAACTTGGACTGCAAATAGAAATTTTATCTTAGAGTTGACTAAAAGGTGTTTGGTGGGGAGGTACTCGATGCCAATATCATGCTGCTCAAATACACCGTGGCACCGTCTCTGTGATGCCTGAAATAAGGTGGATAACCGGATCACTTGCCTCATCCTCCATGCATAAGGATGAAGCAAACA